TTCAAAAATTTTGCTGGACTAAGTGGATACCAATGTATGCCTGAGGGCAAGGGGAATGAACAAAGTAGCCAACAGACTGGAAAAAAAGTGGCCAATCAAAGGTGGAAGTAAGGGAACCTAATGCAAATCTCACCTCACAAGTTTGCCTACATCCCTTTCCCCATATGTTCCAGGGAAAGAAATTTTGTGGTGGCAAATTTCTCTCTCCCAAGTTAATCTACCTGGTGTATGCTTCCTAATAATTTAGGTCTCTCGATGGAGCCCTTTCACTGTACCAGAGTTCTTTTATATAAATGTTTTATATAAATGTTAAATTGCCTTTATTTAGGACTACTCCCCACAAAGTCCTTGAGTGAATGAATCAATCACCATTTTGAGGATAAAGGGAAATATTTTTGAGTGATATGTCATAGGTCCGACAGCTAGAAATCAGCACAACCATGCTCTCTGCTCACCCTGAGACAAATATCTACCCATCCACACTCCATTTCCACTCTGAGTTCAAACAGGCACCACAAGTCTCACAATCCTGTTTCTGAGTTCTTGATTCTTGATTCCTCTACTTCACTCTTACCCCCAGAGCTACTCTCCCAGAACCTTCCCCATCTCCTTGAATGGCACTTCTTTTCACTCAATTGTTCAGGACAAACCCAGCTTGTGATTCTTATATCGTACCTCTCATATCTTCCCCCACCAGTTAAGTAAACTGGAAGGTCTAACTTTCAAATACACGGCAAATCCAATGTCCTCTCAAACCTCTGTCTCTCTTCCTCCCATGCAATCCACCACCGTCTATCACATGAGCAACTACATAAGCACATTTAGGTGCTTTAAGCCTGTCCCTTTGGCTCCCAGGATAATCTGTCTGACAAACTCTTTCCAAACCTAAATTAGGGAATTTGCTTTCTTCAGTGGTTTCCATCACAGTTACAATAAATTTTGAAGCAAATACCATGCCCTCCAGTGTCTTTCGTCACTGGGTCCCTGATTATTTCTAGCTCTTAATTTCTTACCACTCCCCAGTTGTGCACACTACTGCATACTGCACCCCAGGGGGGGCCCAGCCAGTCAATGGACATGGGAAGCTTCTTGCATTTTCATGCCTTAAAATTTTATATTCTATCCACTGCTCCTGGGACACTAATCCTCCATTTATGCACATTTTGTGTCAGGTCTTCAGAGAAGCCTCTGACCACCAAGTTGAAATATCCTCCCTTTCTATTTACACTTCTTTATTTTCTTCATGGCACCAGCACCATCTGGCTCTATGCCACCTTTTAATTTCTCCACTATTCTTTGTATTTCTCCCCTATGAAGTAAAGCTCAATGTGGCCAGGGCCTTGGTTCCTTTTATTCCCTGCAATATCCCTAGTGCTCATTTGGAGAGGACTCAAACAATGGCTCAAAACTCTTGAAGGAGCCCAGAATCTTCACATGTTGTCACTATTCAATTAATGCTGAATGGACAAGTGAAAAAGTGAATGAATAAAGTGAACACGACCATGAGCCAAAGCCCTTGGCAATTAACAATTTCACCAACTGCCCCTTGGTAAGCTTTCTATTCTTTATTGTGTAGGTATTCTTCCAACTTTTCTCAAATTAACACACTCTTGAAGTTTACTTTTTGGTTGTTTGTTTTGATTTGATTTGATTTGATTTGATTGACAAAATCTTATTGTTCTCAAGGAGGCATCTAAGCTGTTGTAGCATCTAAGCTGAGTTCAAGGTATTAAGCAGATTTTTTTCCAAACAGGAACATTCAAATATGTGGCTTTAGTTTAGACATCCTAAGAAAAAGCCAGGAAAGTGCCTCATGTGTGAATCTCTTGCTTGTTTGTTTAAAGTTTTATAGGTTTAGGGGCGCCTGGGTGGCTTAGTCGGTTAAGCGTCCGACTTTCGCTTAGGTCATGATCTCGCGGTTCGCGGGTTCAAGCCCCGCGTCGGGTTCTGTGCTGACTGCCAGCTCAGAGCCTGGAGCCTGTTTCAGTCTGTGACTCCCTCTCTCTCTGACCCTCCCCTGCTCACGCTGTCTCTCTCTCTCTCTCTTCTAGAAATAAATAAAACATTAAAAAAATTTTTTTTAAGTTTTATAGGTTTAGGGTGTCAGTGATATGAAGGTTTCCAAGAGACTAGGGAGAGGGAGGTGAGAGTATTAAGCTAGAGTAGAGTCTTGGAGGGGCCAGGGAAGGTGGGTTTAGGAAGATTATGAAGAACAAGTTGAACTTCAAATCTACCTGCTGCCCAGCCCCAAACTGGCCATGTACACAAACGTTGTGCAACTACTGTAAATGACTGAGGACAGGGACAGCACATAGGCACTTGGCAGATTGCTCCAGTGGACATTTGCAGACAGCTTTGCAGCTGAGACCAAGCTCACAGTTACTTCTCCTCTGGTCAGGAATGGCTGCAGTGCTTTGTGGGCTGGGGCCTGATGCCCTGAGTGCACATCTCACAGTCCACAGTCAGCCCTTCTGGTCCTGAGTGCCCTGTGATCACATGACCCTTCCTCAAGACAAGTGTGTGAAACAGATGTGGGATAGACCTGAATGTGTATTTTTATACCAAGCACTTAATATGAGATGCAGAAATACTTACTTGGTCTTTAAACCATTCTACTGTGTCTGTCTCAGCCTACTGATAGTGATCCTAGTATCTGGAAGTGACTCGGGCACTCACCTGGGCCCCTAATACTTCTGGCTAGCCAGTATAGACATTTTTCTGCCAAAGTCCATGCTGTGGCTGGACTGGTTCTTGTACTTCTTCTTATGATTGCAAGACACACCACAGCAAAAACCAAAAGAAATTTTTGAAAAATAAGGTGGATTACTCACGGGGGTTGGAGGGCCCACGGCATGCATGGGGCCACACAGAGAGTTTGAGGGGAAAGAATGTGGAATTGGGGTTCTGTCTTTATTAGGGCTGAAGGTGGGGTGTCTAGGGTTTGGGGGTTCACTCTTTTTTGACGCACTTAAAATATAAGAATGGTATTTAAAATATGGGAAGGGAAAAGCAAAGTGACCCAGAGGTCAGTTATCTAGGACATCCAGGGCTTTCTAAGAAAAGAACATCGAACATCGTGGGTGGACTGACCAGGCTTTTTAACCAGTTGTGTATTTTTTATTAATTTTTTAAATTTTTAAATATTTATTTTTAAGAGAGAGACAGAGACAGAGGCAGAGGCAGAGTGCAAGCAGGGGATGGGCAGAGAGACAGGAGAGACACAGAATCCGAAGAAGCCTCCAGGCTCTGAGCTGTCAGCATAACGCTCACACCTACAGACTGAGATCATGACCTGAGCCAAAGTTGGTAGCTCAACCACCTGAGCCACCCAGGTGCACCCCAGTTGTGTATTTGAGTGAATATCTTGGAAAGGATGTCTTGGCTTCAGTGCCAGGTATGCACTTTACAAGGAAACAAGCAAATTGTCAAACACTTATACTACACCTGTTTAGGTGACCAGTTGTTGTTGTTTTTTCTTCAGTGATCTAATAGAGAAATCAGGGTGATAGGGGTATGTGTGAATGTATGAAGGGATTTAGACAAACAACGCAAGGATTCAAGGTGCTTGCCCAGTTCCTGTCCTTTCTGGCTGGTCTGGCCCCATGGGACTGCTGATAAGAACACTGAGACTTTCCTAGTCCATACTAGGGACAAGCTTAGAGCCAGCAGAATCCATAGCATAGTCAGGGGCAGAAGAAACACCTTTACACACCCAAGTTAGTGAGGCTGGAACTCACCCAGGAGATTATCTCCCTGGAGTTGAAATGGCACTTGAGGCCCTGGGAACCTCCATGTCCCTCATAAACAAGAACCTGGATTTTTGTGAGGAAGGTATAAGACAGGTCTTAAAGAAAGCTATGTTTCAAGGGCAAGGGAGGGGTACTCTTAGAAAACTGAGATAATAGACATTTAGAACCTTTCCTATTACCTACACTACCTCTGACCACTTATTTCTCATCTTGTACTGCTGCTCTTCTGACCAAAACACAGTGACCACTAATGTGACAAACACAGAATTTCAACTTGGTGGATAAAAGATAAAGGGCAAGGAGAATCAGAATCGGGACTGAGGACAAGATGGTTCTCCTGACACCAGACAATTCAGTTCTACTGTCTCCTCTCCCATTCCAGAACTTTCTATTTGCCACCAGGTGGATGGGGCTGGAATGTGTCATTGTATGTGAAATTAGTTAATCAGAGAAAGACAAATGCCATACGATTTCTCTCATGTGTGGAATTTAAGAAACAAAACAGATGAACATATTAGAAGGGGGGAATAGGAGAGAGAAGGAAGCAAATCACAAGAGACTCTTAATGATAGAGAATAAAATGAAGTTTGATAAAAGGATGTGGATGGGAGGTAGGCTAGATGGGTGATGGGTATTAAGAAGGATTCTTGTGATGAGAAATGGCTTGAATGTACATGATAAATCATTGAATTCTACTGCTGAAACCAATATTGCACTGTATGCTAACTAAAATTTAAATAAAATAAAAGATAAGATATACATATATAGATAGATATAGATATAGATATAGATATAGATATAGATATAGATAATGGGATATTACTCTGCCATAAAATACAATGAAATATTGCCATTTATAATGACATGGTTGGAGGTAAGCATATGTTAAGTGAAATAAGTCAGTCAGCAAAAGACAAATACCATATGATTTCACTCATATGTGGAATTTAAGAAACCAAACAAACAAATGGAAAACAGAGAGAGAGGGGTAAACATAGAAACACACACTTAACTATAGTGAACAACTGATAGTTACCAGAGGGAGGTGGATAGGTGGATGTGTTAAATAGGAGATGGGAATTTAGGAAGACACTTGTTGTGATGAGCACTTGAATGTTGTACAGAAGTGTTGAATCACTACATTGTACACCTGAAACTAATATTACATTGTATGTTCGCTAACTGGAATTTAAACAAAATCTTTAATAAAAGGAATTTATGTGTTAATAACAGAATGTCATGAACATCAAATGTGTACTATGTATACATTTATTTAAAAATTCACTTTTCAGTGTATAGTCATTTATCACTAAGTATTTTAGCCTTAAGACCATGGCTACGTATGAAGTAACCATCACACAAAGAGTTATTCTCTGAAACGGAAGCAGAAGCTCATAGATTATTGTCCTTCACTTTCCCAAGAAGGATTATACGAAGCAAGGATTCTTTAGAGCTGATTGCTCACACTGACAAATAATAGTCTTTAAGTTGGTGGTTGGTTCAAGAGTGAATTATGAAAATCTCTGTGATACATTCTGAGAGCAATGGCTCAAGATTGCTACAAGGAAGCCCAAGTCATCTTTCCAGGCACCAGTGCCATAACAACGATGAGAGTAATTCAGGAGCTGGATGCCCCACTTTTCCCATCTCCATGCCCAACATGCTAAAGTAGTTAGACTTGTTTAGAACCCTTGGAGTTCTTAAAAACCTCTTCTATTGTAAGAAGACGTTTTGCATCACTCACCACAGTCTCCAGGAAATAACTTTGCAAATAGAAAATCTTCCGAAAGTAAAGACCAGAAGCAATGGGCCCTCCACTAATACCACAGAATTTTTCCAAATATCTTAACAGTTTGTCCCCTAAGGACTCATTATCCTTCTCAATTGATAGCAAATGAGGAGACATAAGGTTTGTCTTGAGTTTCTCCACCGACACGTGTAAGTCCACGGCCATGTTTTTCAGGGATGAGTCATCCAGCCCAAAGTGAAACCTGTACAGCGTTAAAGCATCCTTTAAAGTTTGCACATCATTATCACTAACGAAACCCACCAAAGGGATGGTGGCAGATGCTCCAGCCTTCAGGGCCTCCAGCCAGACCTTCTGTTTCAGGGAATCCCTCTTCCGGTCAATGGCGGCCTCAGTAATATTTGGTAGGTATTGCATGAAGATGTGGCGCTTGTGGGCTGGGAGCTCTCTCAGAAGGGTGGTTTCTAGGTTTTGGAAATCATAGCCAGACAGCTCAAGACTAGAGACTAAGAAGACCTGAGGGTCACTCACATTGGCTTTCTGCAGGTGTTTCACACAGTCATCGCGGATCCTTTGCAGGATTTCATCCTTATTGAATGTGGTGGGTTTACTCTTCTCTAGATTAAGTAAATCACTGTCCACTTTAGTTCGGACAAAGTAGAATTTCTTCTTCATTTTTCCAATTGCTGTAGCCAGTTGAGCATCATTGATTTTGAAACGTGTAGCAGAGATGATAATAAAGAAGTCATACTCACCAAATTTCATTTCCTCCAGATATTCTTGTGGCTGAAAGGTAGTGGTCCCTATGCCAGGCAGGTCCCATAATGTCACACTGGGAAACGTCGGGTGTTTGTATGGGGTTCTCTCCATGGTTGTCTCCACTGGCCCCGTGGGAGCAGCCCCGACTTCCTCTTGCCCCACCCCCCTCAGGGCATTGATGAAGGTGGACTTCCCTGTCCCAGATTCTCCTGTCACAGCAATGTTCAGTGGGGCATTTTCAATGTCTCTCAATGCGGCATTGATTTCAGAAAATGCACTCTGAAGGTCCCCCTTCTCTAGGTATGATTGAATATTTCTGATGGTTTCCTGAGAGAGGATTTTGCTTTCCAGCTTGAATTCCTTAAAAAACTTGTCAAAGCTGGAGGCCAAATCACCACTACTACTATGAGAGGGTGGAGAAGAGGAGGACTGACCCATGGCTTAAGCAGTAGAAGGTCCTGGGGGAAGAAAAAAAAGGAAGAAAGGAAAAAGAGTTAGTACAAAAATGGATGGCTTGGGATGTGCTATTATGGGGAGAGAGAACCGAGGTCCTAGCCACACTATTGTGCCCAGAAGCCCTTATGATTGTGCCCAGGCATTGAGTGGACTTTCTGACCTAGATGTAAAGTTTACCCTTGCTCAGTTTCTACCCTTATCTTGGAAAACCCTTCTTTTTTTAAAAAAAAATTTTATTTGTGTATTTATGTGTTTATTTTTTCATTCATTCATTCATTCATTCATTCATAGTTTATTATCTAGTTGGTTTCCATATAACACCCAGTGCTCATCCAAACAAGCACCCTCTTCAGTGCCCATCACCTCCCTTCCCCCTCCCCCGTCCCCATAAGGCTCAATTTGTTCTCAGTATTCAAGAATCTCTCATGGTTTGCTTCTCTTCCTCTCCCCAACCAGTTTTTCCCCTTCTCCTCCTCCATGGTCCTCTGTTAAGTTTCTCCTGTTCTACTTATAAGTGAAAACATATGGTATCTGTCCTTCTCTGCCTGACTTATTTTGCTCAGCATAACACCCTCGAGTTCCATCCATGTTGCTACACATGGCCAGATTTCATTATTTCTCATTGCCGTGTAGTATTCCATTGTATAGATAAACCACATCTTCTTGATCCATTCATCAGTTGATGGACATTTAGGCTCTTTCCATGTTTTGGCTATTGTTGAGAGTGCTGCTATGAACATTGGGGTACATGTGCCCCTATGCATCAGCACTCCTGCATCCCTTGGGTAAACTCCTAGCAGTGCTATTGCTGAGTCGTAGGGGAGTTCTATCGTTAATTTTTTGAGAAACCTCCACACTGTTTTCCAGAGGGGCTGCACCAGCTTACATTCCCACCAACAGTGTAGGAGGATGCCCATTTCTCCATATCCTCACCAGCATCTAGAGTTTCCTGAATTGTTCATTTTACCCACTCTGACCAGAGTGAGGTGGTATCTCAGTGTGGTTTTGATTTGTATCTCCCTTTTTAAAATATATATTTATTTAATAGTTTATTATCAAGTTGGTTTCCATATAACACCCAGTGCTTATCCCCACAAGTGCCCTCTCCCATGCCCATCACCCCCTTCCCCTCCCCCCCACTCCCATCAGTCCTAAGTTTGTTCTCAGCATTCAAGAGTCTCTCATGGTTTGCCTCCCTCCCTCTCCCTATTTATGATGAGTGACGCTGAGCATCATTTCATGTGTCAGTTGATCATCTGGATGTCCTGTTTGGGGAAGTGCCTGTTCATGTCTTCTGCCCATTTCTTCACTGGATTATTTGTTTTTCGGGTGTGGAGTTTAGTGAGTTCCTTATAGATTTTGGATACTAGCCATTTATCCAATATGTCATGTGCAACTATCTTTTCCCCTTCCGTCAGTTGCTTATTAGTTTTATTGATTGTTTCCTTTGCAGTACAGAGGTTTTTATCCCAGTAGTTCATTTTTGTTCTTGATTCCCTTCCTCAGAAGAGATACTGTATATCTTCATTAGGTGATAGAAATTTTAATGCTTGCAAATGTGTTTTCTTTTATCCTGAAAGTGTGCTTGCTTATAAAACAAGGTGTTGAGACAACTGTTTCTACATGTCCTGGAGCAGAAACAGCAGGTGGCATGGTTTCTTATGTTCTCAAAAACCATGTGGGACTATCCACCTGGGAGTTGATATGAGCCACCCCAACAGTCCTGAGACACCACCCATCACCTGTTTCATGCCTTTGTATAAGAGGGGACAGATACCAGGTGGGAGAGATAAGTGACATGGAGGACTAACTATATAAAGTGTCATTGATGGAAAGGTGATGTGAGCAAAGACCGAAGCATAAGTTAAATGAGATGTTGTAAGAAGTCAACCATGATAAGGAGGTCCCTCTGTCATCTTCCCTAATATCAATCAAAAACTGAGCTGGTTCTGCAGTTCTGGACCTATCTGATCACTGAAGAACTATTATACCTTGAGATGGGGCACCTGAAGAAATCATATACTCAAGACTAAAGGTAACATGAAAGATATGTATACTGTCTCCTACAGAGACAGAGAGCAGAGTTTTGAAGTCAGGAAGTAAGTCACCTCAAGTCACCACTGATGTCTGGACAGCATGCAGGCTGCAGAGATGTCCTTTGGCTGAAAGTGAGGGATCAGACATATCTTTCATGGGCTTCATGGGGGTCACAGGCTGCAGCCCAGGACAGAGGATGGCAAAAACAAATTTGGAAAGAAATTATTCAGAGCAAGTGTACAAGGTCTGGACTGGCATATATATGAATGAGGAATGCAAACATCCTCCTTAGAACAGAGACTTGTGGAAATCCTGCTTGCCATGAGTGAAAGAAGTATCTATGAAGCAACTAAAAAAGAATGATATCAACACTTTTGACTGCCCAGCAGGAATATTCTTTATGTGCAGAAGAGAGGAAATCTTGAGTGTGTGGCATGTACAGGGCCAGCCCCTTGCCGTGTGGAGAGCAAATCACCTCACCACGCCTTTGGGGAGCAGGCAGCACACAAGGCAGAATGAGCAAGCCTGAGGATGGAAGAGACATATACATTCTGGGTCTCAAAGAGAAGCCAACAAGGTGAAATAAGATTTCAACCCTATTAGGTGTGGTCTTGTGCCTATGCATTATCAGAAAGTGTGGGGGGAGGGGCGCCTGGGTGGCTTAGTCGGTTAAGCGTCCGACTTTCGCTTAGGTCATGATCTCGCGGTTCGTGGGTTCGAGCCCCGCGTCAGGCTCTGTGCTGACTGCCAGCTCGGAGCCTGGAGCCTGTTTCAGCCTGTGACTCCCTCTCTCTCTGACCCTTCCCTGCTCACGCTGTCTCTCTCTCTCCTAGCAATAAATAAAAACATTTAAGAAAAAAAAAAAAAGAAAGTGTGGGGGGACATACACGGGATGGTGAGAAAATCTCTGACTGAGACGGGTCCCGAGGAACAGAACAAATACAGCAAAAGGGCTGTCATGTCAAGCGACATGGTCAGGAGGGCAAACATGTGGACAGCAAATTCTATGTGGTAATCAAATTTCAACTACAACACACAAAAGTCATGCCCTATTGTTAAGGTCTCAAACCTCACCTGATGTTGTATGTGAAGTTCTGTTATATATTATTTTCTGTTACAACAGCAATGCAGGGACACAGTACTTTTTTATGATATCCCTAGGGGCTTGTGTTCCATCCTCTGATAGTGTGTCCTCTGCAGCTGAGGTAGAAATGAGACGGAATATGAGAAATCCATGCCAATAAACCTTAGATGTACATCTATACATACATTTCTCATCTTATCTTCTCAACAACACGACACAGACTTTATAGTTCCAAGGAGAGATGTGTTAAAAATCATGACACAGTGTCATATTGGAGCATATTAAGTTAATGCCCCAAATCAGTAAAACAAGACTTACTACCTAACAGAAGTTTCTGTGCCCCCAGGGATGTAATCTTTCACCAGTCAACATAGGAATTTCCTTGTCAGAACTGAAAACTGTATTGACAGTTCCCCTTCTATTTCCTTAGGAGGGCAACTTTGGCTAAAACAATGGATTGTTTGCTGATAATTTTTCTCACTTTCTCTCTTTGCTTAAAAACTTTTCTTTTTCTTCAACTAGTTGGAACTCCTTTCTATTTGCTAGGTGGGATACTGCCTGATTCATAAATCATTTAATAAATCCAATTAGGTATTTAGAAGTTATTTTGTTGAATTTAGGTTTTGTAAAACAGATTTGGTGGAATTGTTGAGATCTAAAGCAAACTTATGACTGTTTTGGGGGACAACAAGAAACAGGTGTGGCATCCCATGAATAGATTTGAGTTCACTGTCTCTCAACATTTCCAAGAACTGTTGGTTTGAGATCTTTTCTTTTTTTACATGAGAGCCCCTGATCGAATTTGCTTTATAGCCCAAGGTTAGTGTATCACCTTGTCACTGACAGAGGGCTCTGAGAGAGCAACAGTTCTTAGTCTCCGGTTCAGTACACAAGCCCACATTGGAATCCTTTCCCCACTTCCAGCCCATAGTTTCAATTTACCACTATTTGCTGTCTTAGTTTATTACCCACTTCCTGTCTCCAGTCTCCAATAATGGAATTTGCTGGTTTAGTCCGTGATAGAAATTTGTGGTGATGAATAGAGGGCATTCTATTGAACAGTCCACAGACCTCTTGGTTCTGAACTCAGATTCCAAGTTGGGAAATGTGGTAGCAGCTACAGTTCTCCATGTGTGTGGAATCAATCTGTAGTCCCCACTCATGGAGGTCTGTTGGTTTAATCCTTGCCCAGTCCTGGGTTATTTGGGTACTGCTGGTGTCCATAGTTCCACTACCTCAGTACGGTTGGCTTCTATTAATATATATATGATGAAAAGTTTTAGCTTTAAGAAATATAGTAAATAAATGCATAAACTAATAAACAAACAAATAAATAAAGTGAATCCTTAAATCCATACTTAAGTGCTTTACCCACCAGCACATTGTATATTGTATATTTAAGAATTATAATTTTGGAAGCTATAAAATCTAGATGTGTTTTTTTTTTTTTTAAATTTCCTGAATAACTTGGCTTGATGTCAGATCAGGAGCCACAAATTAAGACCAGATAAAAATGTGAGTTCTTCCTTATTTGAGACTAGGTATGGCTGGATAAAAATGTGGGTTAAACTTCACATTTAATGTGAATAGGAGAATTATGCCAGGGTCCTACCAAACAGCTTCAAGTCCTCAGAGAATTACAACCTAAGATTGCAATGGCCTATATGAGGGACATTCCAATTAGAAAAGATCACTTTTTAAAATTTTTTAATGTCTTTTATTTATTTTTGAGAGAGATAGAGACAGTGTGAGCAGGGGAGGGTCAGAGAGAGAGGGAGACACAGAATCCAAAACAGACTCCAGGCTCTGAGCTAGCTGTCAGCACAGAGCTTGACACAGGGCTTGAATCCATGAACCATGAGATCATGACCTGAGCTGAAG